GACACAGAGATCTACCCTGGGGGTGGCTTATTGTGGACTATGCTAGGCACGGTGAATGGGGTCACTCTGCACATGGGGTGCCTTTTGGTGTGTCAAGCTCATCAGTGCCCCAGGACAAGGCAGGGACCGCTTTTATGGGAATTTAAACCTTAAGGCGGCCTTCGTACCACACAGTGGCCGTACATCATGTACACTGAGCAAATATACTGGACTCCAATTAAACCTCTGTCCTGTGCCAATGCACACCTTGACTTGTTTGCAATTAGGAGGAACACGTTGAGCCTATGCCCATTTCACCTGTCCATCGTATCTCTGTCACCTCACTCCCAGTGACAAAATGGGGTCCCGCCTTGCACCTGGCACGCACTTTGTCTTCTTACTTTCCTGTACCTGGCGGCCAGGTTGAGGGCCTCCATGATGCTGATCTTCTCCAGCTGCTATAGGAGATAGACCGCTAGGGGAGGGAGTCCCAGAGGCAACCCCCTCACTACCGGAGTATGTCTTGCCTGTCAAAAGTACCACGCTACACAATTGGCTGCTTGTTCTGGTTCTAAACCTCCATTACCCTTGGCAACTACTTGCTCTTACTCCACACTGTTAACTCTTGCAGAGGTTGTCTTTATACCACAAAGTGCCTTAACTGACCCAAGTTGCAGATGGCTACTTGTGATGTGCCAGTTACTTTCATACACCCCTTTAGAATAATTTCAGTCCAGGCATTAAACGTTTCAGCAGTTTACTAACACAACTTCAGCATAACAGTTTAAGAGAGCAAATAGTCTTTCCCTAACTGAACCTACAACTATGGCTGCCTCAGCATATCTGCACAAGCAAGAGTCCATTCTTGGCAGAGTGCATAGTGGCAGAATCCAGATGCTGGTGTCCTCTGGGTGGACTGCAAGTCCCAGCAGTCCCCATTTGTAATATTGGGATTTTACATGTATGTTGAGCTTTCTGGATCCTCCATCTTATGAAATGCATTGAAAAAGCCAACAGGAAAGATGTTTCAATTGGCCCTTTGCTGATAAGCAGCTCTGGGAGAGGAACCTTCTTGAGCTATGATTACCACAAAGTATGGTTCCTATGGGGTATCAGGCAGCACCAGCTACCTGTGGCCTTGTAGTGACAATAACAGAATTCTTAAAACCCCATAACCTAAATATCTGATTAGTTCTACCAATACAACCCTGATGAAGCCATTGGATTTCTGATTAAACATGGTGGTGGTTTGGCCCTCATGACCATCTCAGACATCACCAAACTACAGTAATGATTAGAGCAAACATGCGGTAATCTGTTGTTACTTGCATGGTTTGTAGTGTCTAAGGATTGGAGCTGTTTAGGAGAACTTGCATGCTTTTGGGCAGCAAGCATTTACCCATCTCCTGTAAATATTTGCTGTCTACACCCACCAACAAGATAAAATAAATGGATCTGTTGAGTGATTTTCTAATGGTATATGATGCATCAGGAATTAATGGGGGGCAGTGGAGCTTTTGAGACTGACCAGAAGATCGTCACAATCGGCGTCAATCAATAAGTGTAATGCTTGGCTTTTGTTATTGGTCCTACATGGATTTCTAATTCTAAACATAATGTGGTGTCTATACGGGCAGAAAAAGCTTTGTAGTCATTGGCCGTAAAGCCTAAATTTGAATGACCAAGGGAAACTCATATTGCCTTCCACAACTCTGCCCCTACATGCATCACTATCCTTGTCTCATAATATTAACTAAACCATCATCTGAACTCTTCCTAAGACCTTCTGCTGTCTGTCTCCCTTGTCACCTCCTCCCTTGCTCCTCTCCTGGACTTCTCCAGAGCCTCTCCTATCTCCTCCCTATCCCAAATTGTCTGGCTATCCCATACTCTACCTTTAAGGCAATCCCTGAAAACTCATCTCTTCAGGGAAGCTTACCCTGCCTTCACTTACTAATGCACTTTACTTTCCCCATCAGCTTATCCTTCATATCCTACACAGTATTTTACTATGCCAGTGACATTGTAATTCCTAGCAGGGAAAAGTGTGATTTGCATTTCAATGCATCATACTATTTACTTTTTTCTCCACTTTATTTGAAATGTAACATAGTGACACTTCATTCTTGGCTCCACACAGAAGAGCAATGCATTGTGCTACATTACAGTGACATGCAGTGCCGTCCACCTGATATAGTTTTGTGTTTATCTACATTGCTCTATACCACGTCTTTCGCACACTAAAAGTATTGAAAGGGTAGCACCTTACATTGATTCAGCTTGCTACATTGATTTGCACTGATGTTATTTGGCATGACTTGGAGAAATAGCAAAGATTACAAGTTGCAGTGCTTGATGCGTAATTAAAACCATAAGCACTTGCATCCTTTTCTGGTCTATACCACAGTGTATGTTGGTGCTATGTTTAGTTATTTGGCACATTGTTTCCCAAATCCTTTTTAGTCTGTGGTGGTGGGTTGATAAATTTTTCTTTTTTTGGTTTGTAATAGATTCTGATACTTTTTCATATTATAGGATGTTTGTAATTGCATTTATACATTTTGCTGAAATATACAATATATCGCTACTATAAACCATTTCTTGTTTTGGTTATAGTTATTTGTAAGTAAGTCTGCAGCATATATTAAGGTTTTAAAATTATTTGTACAACAAAATGATTATTTTTATTGATATAGTGGAAAAATGCATTATTCTTAAATTTTGATCCAGTTTGCTGGCATTCTTCTTTTTTTTTAATTTTTTTTTAATGGCCATTTGGCTACAAGTAGTGGTTTTATAAAACCTAAAAACTACAAAATCTATATGATAGCTGGCTTTTTTTATTGGCCATTTGGATACAAGTAGTGGTTTTATAAAACCTAAAAACTACAAAATCTATAGGATAGCTGGCTTTTTTTATTGGCCATTTGGATACAAGTAGTGGTTTAATAAAACCTAAACTACAAAATCTATATGATAGCTAGCTTTTTTTATTGGTCATTTGGATACAAGTAGTGGTTTCATAAATCCTAAAAACTACAAAATCTATATGATAGCTGGCTTGTGCATGGGCCCATTAAAAAGAACCCATCTGAACAGAAATAAGTAAGATGTCAGAGGGGCTGTCATCCTTATGCTTTCATTACTGTGTGAGTCATCTGACATCTTAAAATAAAAAAAAAAAAAAAAAAAAACAACAGAGCAATGGCGGCTTCCACATCTCTCTCTTGATCAGCCCCATGAAGAAGAAAAACATGACTTAACATCACTCACCTCCTTGCTTTTTATTACTGTGTCACAGACTATCAGCAAGTATGCAGTCTGTAAAGACAGATGTCCTGATCTACATATTGTTCCATAATGGTTTGACTGGTAGGCAGCTTTTTCAGAAGGGGAGTCAGCAATAGAAGCTTACGTTTTTTTTTTTTTTTGTTTTGTTTTTTTTTTTTATGACGGGTGCTCTTTTACAATGTCACCAGGTCATGTGGCCTATACATACAGTGCTTTCAAAAAGTATTTGCCCCCTTTTTTTATTTTTTTTCCCTATATTTGTCATACTTTAAAGGATAAGTTCACATTTTGCACAAAAAAAATGAATGCACATTTTTTTTTTTTAAGGTAAAAATATGTGCATTTATTATTTTTTGTTTGCAGGAGCCTGTAAAGCATTGCACCAGCGATAAGCAGATCGCTGGTGCCTTGCAGGTCTGCTGCAGATCTGTCCATGTATCTGCTTGCCATACGGGATATTGACAAACCGATATACTGTCAGGAAGATTCAATGAACTACCATGGAGCACCACAGCGCTGTGGTAATTCATTGAACACTACAAGCTGGCAACTGCTAAGGCTGTAAGGGTTTATAGCTCATTCATTCACAGAGGACTGTGAATGACGCGGCCATGTGGGCGGAGCCCCGCACCGCTGTGTGTTTGCAAATCTGACAGCCAGTACGGGAAACTTCTCCCCATTCTTCTGTCGGGGGGGGGGGGGGCAGCAGGCGGCGGCTGCAGCATTAGGAACATGTTATATGTTCCCAAAGGTGAACTTATTCTTTATTTCAATATTTTTATTGAAAATCTGTAGAAATAGTATACAGAAATATAGAAAACATAACCTACCCACATGATGAGTTGTAGCAAAACAATCAAAGTCAAGGAATATAAAGTCACATAATAATACATCGACCAATAATGTAGTAAGCAATAAACAGCAAACCACAATAGGGTATAATCGAGTTTGAACTTATTCTTTATATGATTCAAATCATCAAACAAATTGTAATATTACACAAAGATACTGGAGTAAATACAAAATGCAGTTTTTAAATTATTTCATTTATTAAGGCCCCTTTCACATGGACATTCCGATCAGGTCAATTCTCCTCTATGGAGCGGCGGGTGTAAACGGACGTGTCCGTTTTTATACCTGCTGACATCCAATCTGATCTGCCAAAAAGAGACAGATGGGGATCCATTGCCCTGCCATCCGTCGGATGGGCTGGACAGGCAGTCAGTTTCCATTCAACCGCCGATAGAGACAGCGGGCTATGTCTGTGTCCGCTCTGCAGAGGCATTGCAAGGTTGACAGTTACAACCATGACACCCTCAGGCAGAGGCATGATGGGACTTGTAGTTCTGCAACAGCTGGAGGGCTGTCAGTTTAACACAGGTTGCCTAGTTCGTCAGAGCGTAAGTGGGAGCGGGTAACCCTCAAAAAGCAACACATCATGCTGCAATCTAAAGGAATTCAAGAACAGATGAGAAACCAAGGAATTGATATGCATCAGTCTTGAAAGGGTTAAAAAGGGTTATTTGATGATCAGAATCGTTTAATTGTGATGAATAGGCAAACAAATAAAAAATCAGGAAGGGGGAAAATACTTTCACAGCAATGTATGTATAGGTCACAAGACCTGGTGACATGTTAAAGAGCACCTGTCATAAAAGAAAACCAAAAGCTTTAAATACTTTTTCACAGCACTGTAGTGCCATCAAAGCAGAAACACTGTTGGATATTACCTTTGTTCCTGGAGGAAGTAGGACTTTGCTGCTCTTCACCAAACTCAGAATTAGTGCAATTACCACTGTTATTACTGAGGCCACCAGCAACACCAATAGCGCCAATTGTTTGGAGTCTAGGCCCATTCTATTCCCTGTATTGGATGAGAGAACATCAGAAGTACTTGTATTAATAAAAAAAATAATAATGTGCAACCATTCCTGTATCATATTGATTCTTTACACTGGAATCTAAAGTTTACTTCCTGACTTGTGCCTGAACTCTGCTGGCTAACCTTTTTTTTGTGCTGTGCTAAACACCAGGTCATGAAATATAAGGCCTCATGCACACTGGGCATTTTTACAGCTGCTGTTTTGGGTGTCAGGCTTTTTTTTCTACAGCCAGTAAAGTCCCCAGCATGTTATCCTATATGTCTATGCACACACAGGCTTTTATCAGCGGTTTTTGGCAGGGGTGTTTTCAGGCTGGAAAAATAAAAATAATAACTACTGCATTTGAAGAGGAGTTTTACAGCTGTAAAAAATCTCTGATGCTGAAAAAATCCAGCATTTATGAGCATTTTTCAGCCTCAAGCTTTTGTGGGTTTATAGTTTTGCTAAAAAAAAAGGCTAAAAAAAGCAAACACTTAAAAAAGCTAAAATAGACGACAAAACGCACTTGTTTAATGTGGCATCCTACAAGTAATGCTTCTGGCGGTTTTATAACGTCCAGTGTGTGTGAGGCCTAATACTTAGAGCCACAGAGAGAAGAGGCGAAAAGATAGGATGTAACGTATTTTTCGCTCCATAAGACGCACTTTTTTTTCCCCCCCAAAAAAAAATGGGGGACAGTGTCTGTGATTCTTATGGAGGGTCGGCCCACCGCCACCATGTTAGAATACCGGGCCACCTCTCGGCTCTTCTGTGCTCCTTGGTCCTACCTGTTTCTCGGTCCAGCGCTGTCCTTACCGTCTTTTCTCCCCGGCGACAGCATCTTTACTGTGGGCACCTGGCTGTGACAGCTTGTGGCTTCAAAGCCGGATGCCCACTGCACATGCGTGAGAAGCGCTGCGCTTTGTGAATGGTCCGGCAGTCTTCTGGGACCTGTCACGTGTCCCAGAAGATGGGGAGGGAGGACAATTCTGCTGAAGTGGGAGTGGGTACCTATCAAATTCCAGTACCCGCCCCCCCTCTGCTCCCCAAAGGTCGGCAGTCTCCGGTCATCCCCTGTACCGCGTCCGCAGTCTCCGGTCATCCCCTGTACCAGCTCCGGTCATCCCCTCCGCAGTCTCCGGTCATCCCCTGTACCGCGTCCGCAGTCTCCGGTCATCCCCTGTACCGCGTCCGCAGTCTCCGGTCATCCCCTGTTCCGCGTCCGCAGTCTCCGGTCATCCCCTGTTCCGCGTCCGCAGTCTCCGGTCATCCCCTGTACCGCGTCCGCAGTCTCCGGTCATCCCCTGTACCGCGTCCGCAGTCTCCGGTCATCCCCTGTACCGCGTCCGCAGTCTCCGGTCATCCCCTGTACCGCGTCCGCAGTCTCCGGTCATCCCCTGTACCGCGTCCGCAGTCTCCGGTCATCCCCTGTACCGCGTCCGCAGTCTCCGGTCATCCCCTGTACCGCGTCCGCAGTCTCCGGTCATCCCCTGTACCGCGTCCGCAGTCTCCGGTCATCCCCTGTACCGCGTCCGCAGTCTCCGGTCATCCCCTGTACCGCGTCCGCAGTCTCCGGTCATCCCCTGTACCGCGTCCGCAGTCTCCGGTCATCCCCTGTACCGCGTCCGCAGTCTCCGGTCATCCCCTGTACCGCGTCCGCAGTCTCCGGTCATCCCCTGTACCGCGTCCGCAGTCTCCGGTCATCCCCTGTACCGCGTCCGCAGTCTCCGGTCATCCCCTGTACCGCGTCCGCAGTCTCCGGTCATCCCCTGTACCGCGTCCGCAGTCTCCGGTCATCCCCTGTACCGCGTCCGCAGTCCATTGTTTCAGAATATTTTTTTTTTGTTTTCCTCCTCTAAAACCTAGGTGCGTCTTAGGGTCAGGTGCGTCTTATGGAGCAAAAAATACGGTATGTTACACAGCTTCACTTTTTTTCTGGCTTTTGGTGGGCAGAGTAGCCACTGCCACTGTTGGCCTACAATAGCAATGGCTTGATGTTCTAAGAGCAAGAGCCCCTCTGCACATTCTCCCCTGTACCGCGTCCGCAGTCTCCGGTCATCCCCTGTACCGCGTCCTCAGTCTCCGGTCATCCCCTGTACTGTGTCTGCAGTCTCCGGTCATCCCCTGTACTGTGTCTGCAGTCTCCGGTCATCCCCTGTACTGTGTCTGCAGTCTCCGGTCATCCCCTGTACTGTGTCTGCAGTCTCCGGTCATCCCCTGTACTGTGTCTGCAGTCTCCGGTCATCCCCTGTACTGTGTCTGCAGTCTCCGGTCATCCCCTGTACTGTGTCTGCAGTCTCCGGTCATCCCCTGTACTGTGTCTGCAGTCTCCGGTCATCCCCTGTACTGTGTCTGCAGTCTCCGGTCATCCCCTGTACTGTGTCTGCAGTCTCCGGTCATCCCCTGTACTGTGTCTGCAGTCTCCGGTCATCCCCTGTACTGTGTCTGCAGTCTCCGGTCATCCCCTGTACTGTGTCTGCAGTCTCCGGTCATCCCCTGTACTGTGTCTGCAGTCTCCGGTCATCCCCTGTACTGTGTCTGCAGTCTCCGGTCATCCCCTGTACCGTGTCTGCAGTCTCCGGTCATCCCCTGTACCGTGTCTGCAGTCTCCGGTCATCCCCTGTACTGTGTCTGCAGTCTCCGGTCATCCCCTGTACTGTGTCTGCAGTCTCCGGTCATCCCCTGTACCGCGTCCGCAGTCTCCGGTCATCCCCTGTACCGCGTCCGCAGTCTCCGGTCATCCCCTGTACCGCGTCCGCAGTCTCCGGTCATCCCCTGTACCGCGTCCGCAGTCTCCGGTCATCCCCTGTACCGCGTCCGCAGTCTCCGGTCATCCCCTGTACCGCGTCCGCAGTCTCCGGTCATCCCCTGTACCGCGTCCGCAGTCTCCGGTCATCCCCTGTACCGCGTCCGCAGTCTCCGTCATCCGCACTCCGGTCATCCCCTGTACCGCGTCCGCAGTCTCCGGTCATCCCCTGTACCGCGTCCGCAGTCTCCGGTCATCATCCCCTGTACCGCGTCCGCAGTCTCCGGTCATCCCCTGTACCGCGTCCGCAGTCTCCGGTCATCCCCTGTACCGCGTCCGCAGTCTCCGGTCATCCCCTGTACCGTGTCTGCAGTCCATTGTTTCAGAATATTTTTTTTCTTGTTTTCCTCCTCTAAAACCTAGGTGCGTCTTAGGGTCTTATGGAGCAAAAAATACGGTATGTTACGCAGCTTAACTTTTTTTCTGGCTTTTGGTGGGCAGAGTAGCCACTCCCACTGTTGGCCTACAATAGCAATGGCTTGATGTTCTAAGAGCAAGAGCCCCTCTGCACATTCTCCAGGAAACCGCAATTGGCAGCAGCCAGCAGTTCACCCTCAAAGTTCACAGCAGAAGCACTGAAGTTGTTGAAGTTGCTTCTCTCCTTAGTTCACCCTGCTCTGTATTTATATGAGCGAGTAGAAGGTGGGAAGGTCATTGCTGGGAGAGGGAGCAGAGGTAGCTGAGATAAAGAGGTGAACCACTTAAATGCTTCTGCTGTAAAATTTCAGGATGAATTATTCAATAGTACTTGCAGCTACAGTGGTCAGAGAGGGCTAGTTTTAAAGCTTATTTACTGCTTACAATATGTGGAAAAGACGTGGTGCTTCTCCAAGCCAGAAGGCCAGAAAAAGGTTACCCTGCTGGTATATGGAAGGAGGGAGCCATTGTCCTGAAGTACTTCCAGGAGCTCCAATCTGACAGAGATGCAGAGGCTGCTTTGACCAACCCGATGAGTCTGGATGGGTATATGAGATGGCCTCAGCTGCCACTCCGGCCTCAACCTCTGATGCATTATGCCCCACCCACCGGGGGGCTTGGTCACAGATGTGAAATGCGTTAGTGGGCATGGCTGGAGTGGCAGTTGAGGCCATCTCTTATACCCATCCAGACTCATAGGCTTGGTTAGAGCGGAGTCCACATCTCTGTCTCAGTTATTGCTTGTTAGGAATATACATTGCTCAAAAAAATTAAAGGAACACTTTGAAAACACATCAGATCTCAATGGGAAAAAATCTCATGCTGGAAAGCTATACTGATATGGACTGGGTAATGTGTTAGGAACTTAAGGATGCCCCATCGTTTGATGGAAATAAAAATTCTCCACCTACAGAGGACTGAATCAAAAGACACCCCGAAAATCAAAGTTAAAAAATTATGCAGCAGGCTAGTCCATTTTGCTGAAATTTCATTGCAGCAACTCAGAAAGGTACTCAGTAGTTTGTATGGCCCTGTCAGTGAATGGGAAGATCGCCGCGGCGATCGAATCTGCACATGCGTAGACTCCTGACAGAACGTACAGGCAGGCGGGCACTAGGACCCAGGCGCGTCTGTCACCAATGACGGCGCTTGGCAAGCACTAGGACCCAGGAGCGCCTGTCAGGAGTCGGGCGGGCTATTTAAACCCGGCTCTTGCAATGCTCAAGTGCCATATGGTCTTTTCTGTGTTCCTGTGAGTAGATTGTTTGTTGCCGACCCAGCCTGACCCTGATTTGCTGTCCGTCTCCTGCTCTGATCCCTGGCTTTGTCTGACCATTCTCCTGCTTAACCCCATATGTTCTGACCTCCTGTTGATGAACCCGGCTTGTGACCTGTTTATCCCTCTGCCTGCTGATTCTGTACTACACCGCCACCACTGTTACTGACCCGGCCTGCCCGACGCTGCTTCAGTTACCTCCTTACATCAGACTCTTAATTGCTATACACTTTCAACGGTGCCTCTACCACATCTGGGTGAACCCAGGGGCCGTGACCTGGTCTCGGCCTGCTCCAAGTCCATCCCCACCATCAGGGGCTCTGGTGAACAAGCAGGTCGGAGCTTAGATTCCGTGCCTTGGGGGATTCCGGTCTGTGGAGTGCTAGAGGCTACCGCTGTTGGATTCCTGACAGGCCCCCATGTGCTTGTATGCATGTCTGACAACAACGAGTCGTGCTCCAAATAAGATGATGAATGGTGTCCTGGGATATTTCCTCCCAGAT